GACTGTTTCTCAAAGCCATAGGATAGGAATCTACATAAAAGGCCAGACGCAGTGATGCACATCTGTAATCCCAGCACTCCAAGGAAGGCAGACAGCAGAATCCTGAGACAGGAGAATGGCCTGGAAGTTCACAGGCCAGCTAGCCTTGGATACACAGCTCAGCAGGAGAAAGAAGAGAGACTGCCTCAGAACCAGCTTCTGAAAGTTGTCCTATGACCTCCACGCAGGCACTGTGGTGTGCACATGAATGCACATACATATACATAATAAATATATTTAAAAAATTTTAAAGGCATAGAACATTCTTATTTACAACAGTGAGAGGCAAAGGGGCAGTTGGGGGAGAGAAGCAAGCTTGTAGAGAAAGAAAGAAAGAAAAGAGCTAGCATTACTGCAGCCAAACAGAACCAGGAATTCTGCCAAAGAAGAAAGTACAGGATTGGAAGCAACCAAGATCCCAAATGGACATTCAGGAAAGATTCTGGGCCACAGCACGGGGCCCCCTCTGTCTGGGCCAGGAGAATTCTGGCAGCAGCGTCCAACCCATGCATGTTCCTACATAATTGAAGACGAATGTGCTGGGGGAGGGAGGGTAGATGGAGGCTTTCCTGTAGAGTCCTCTTTGTGGCCTGCACTTGGCCTTGCCTGGGATCCAAGCCAGTTAGTGTTGATTTTCTGCAGCTTAGAAACAAATGCAATGAAGCTGTTTTCCTGAGGCCTGTATTTTGAGAAGAGGATTTGAATCCCCTTGCCCCCAAGGACAGGTGGGGTTGGGAGGTGGGAGAAGTGTGATGTGGCTCTTGTGTTGCTGGAGGCTTGGGAAACTTTCAGGCTTAGTGCTGCTGCCAGTGCTGAAAGGAATCAGATGAATGGGCCTAGATAATTCCTAATTCACACTAAGGGTGAATCTGGCAGAGCAGGCAGACCCTCTGGCCCAGGGCGATAAGTCAGTTAGAAAACTCCTAATTCCCTCCCTAAGAATTTTCATTGATTCTTCTTCACTTCTAGGTCTTTCTCTGGGATTTGTTTTTCTGCTCCAGAAATGAGTTTGTTCCTCCTCCTTCTCACTCAGCACCAGAGTCTTCTGGTGCTAAGTGTTCTGCTAATAATGTGAGGTGACACCGGGCCAGTTTCTCAGTAGTGAGAATACCTTGTTCTGCAGACTTACCTTTGGTGTTGAGTGGAGTTGGAGGTCAATCTCAGGCCTCATTCCTCGGGTGCTGTCCACCTGTTTTTGAGACAGGTCTCTCACTGGGCTCACTGACTAGGTGAGGTTGGCTGGGCAGTAAGCCCCAGGGACTCCACCCCCCTCCAGTGCTGGAATTAACAAATACATGCTATCACATTCCACTTTTTATAAAACCTGGATGCTGGGAAATTTAACTTGGGTGGTCATGTTGCATGGCAAGCACTTTACCAACTGAATTACCTCCCCAGACCTCACACTCCACTATTGAGTTAGACCCTCGGCTCCAGGGCTCTTCCTTTGTAAATCAGGACTCTAATGTACAAGGTTTGGTCTGAGTCTGTTGTTTCTGTGTGAAAGATGGTAAAGGACCCCTCTGTAGGGCAGGTCAAAATGGCTCTCCTACATGCATCTCTGATCAGAGCTACAGGTTGACTGTATGAAAATAACTATACCATTATCCCAGGGTAGGTTTATTCTGGGTGTCCAGGCCTTCATGTGGGAGGGCTCAGCAGGTGAGCTTACGCTGACTTCTCCTTCCATCCCAACAGCCCTGCATTAATTTCCAGGCGGGATCTGAAAGGAGTCTCAGGTTAGGGGATTTAGAGCAAGGTCTGAAAAGAAACAAAGCTGCTTTAGTTCACACAGTGAGCCTGGTAATTAGCCTTGAGTAACAAATGTTATCTGCACCAGAGCAGCTCTGTGCCAAGTACCAAAGCCACATTTTCCAGATAATTCCAGTGAGAAATTTTTGACCCAAAGCCATTCAGGCCCCAAAGACTGCAGTCATCTTACATGAAGCAACAGATTGTTCACTTCTTCCTTTAATGCAAGAATGCAAAATCCAGACTAAGAACCTGCAGAATTCTCACATTCTCCCCAGCTTCCAGAATTACAGAACAACTATCCTATGTAGCTCGTTAGCTGGTGACTCTGAAAGTGATGGCCCAGAAGTTTAGCTTTCAGGACTGATAACTGATGCATGACAGAACAAATGGGCCTGAGTATCTATGCAGTCCAGGGAGAGCTTATGTTCCAGGGTCAAGGTAAAGAATGACTATCATTACAAAGCAAAGATGGCCAGGTGTAGTGGCTCACATCTGTAATCTCAGCACTTCAGAGGCAGAGGCAGCATTGCTATGACCTCAGTATAAAGGGGCCTTGAGGATGATGGCTCCATGGGTAAGACTATTTGCTGTGTAAGCATGGTGTCTTGAGTTTGAATCCCCAGCACCCATGTACAAAGCTGGACAGAGCAACATGCAATGTAACCTCAACACTGTTGGGACAGAAACGGGGATTGTTGGGGCTTGCAGCCTGCCATCCTACCTCTAGATGTAGTGAGAGACCCTGTCTCAAGGGAATAAGGTAGCCAGTGATAGGGCAGGACACCCAAAATTCTTCTCTGGCTTCTGTGAGCATGCATGCACAAGCATAAGCACCCACACCAGCCAGCACATGTAAAAGGGAGAATGTAAACATGAATAGTAAGGATAAAGAGACCAGTAGAAATTTCTCCTAAAGCACAAATGAAAATGTTTGTTCCAAATAGTGTTTAGGGAGAAAAATCAAGTTCATATCCTAGAAGGGAAGGAGATGTAGCTTTGGCACTTACATAAAACTGAGGGTTTCTGAAGGGAAAGGGTTTTCTCTTCTTTTATTGCTTATTACTTTAAAATATTTTTAATTTAGGGCTACACCTCAGGGTGGGGACATAGCTCAGTGGATAGCATTCTTGCTTAGCATACATGAAGCCCTGGGTTCCATCCACAGCACCACATAACTGACAAACAGGTGTGGTGACACAAGCCTCTAATCCTGGCACTCTGGAGACAGATGGTGTCCCGGAAGTTCCTCTGATAAGCCATGGTCCCACCTCCTTCCCACGCTCTGCGGAAGGAGCCAAGCCCATTAAGGGACAGAGCTATGGAAATAGAAGCCAGGAAAACCACAAGGCTGCTCTCTCGCCATTTTGTGTGGCTGTTGGGAAGCCACCAGACGTATGTTTGGGTGTTGACTTTTGAGGTAGTTGCCATTTTTGAAAGGTGGGGCAATGCCCCACCTGTCTTGTCTCAGGGTCTCCTTGGGAGGCAAGATGGTGAGAAGGCCATAGGGAGCACACTGGGAAAAGGGTGGAGTGGGGTGGAGTGGCTGCAGGGGAGAAGGCTGGGGCGGGGATATGGAGATGGATGGCACATGCATTTCAAATATGTAAAAGGAAAAGCCTCTAAAAATCGTGTTTTTGTAAGTCATCCCTCCCAAATGTCATATAAACTATGCAAAAATCTAAATAGAATGTCTTGTCAGTTCATTCCGTATCAGGACCAGGAGACCATGAGTGGCAGGTCTCCATCAGGAAAAGGAAAATTTAGTGAAACATGGAGGAAGAAGGATCAGTTCAGTCTTCCTTGGTACTTACCATATTTGAGGTCAGTGTAGGATATGTAAGGCCTTGTCTCTAATAGAGACAGTAACAATATAAAACTACACTTGAGCAGGTTGTGGTGGTGCACGTGTGTAATTCCAACAGTAATGTTTGAGCCAATCCAAAAAACCCCTTCACCCAAAACACCCCCAGATAAAAACCAGACATTTAATGGAGTCACTGTGCAGATCTTTTAGAACTTCCATTTTAATAATGCTCAGATGAGAGCTGGCAGTGTAGCTCAGTGGCTTACTATGTACAAGACCAGGCCTTGGGTTCCATCTACAGCACCAATCAAAAAGGGAATAAAGAGAAAGAACTGACCAGCAGCAGAGAATTCTGCCACACAATACTGAGTGACATCTAAGTCTATAGTGATGGCTATATCCTGGGGAAGCTCAGGGGTTCCTATACCTTTAAGAAACAGGAGTTGGTCCTTTGGAGTCTTAATTCCTCTCATGCTGCCAAGAGAAGGTACAGTGCCAAAAGAGGGTATTTGTGTGTTGCAGTGACTTCAGCTTCATCCCAGAGAAAACAGCTGCTCTTTAGGTGTGAAGAGTGGCTTTTCCATTTTCAGAGGCCATAGACTTCATCATACCACTCAAGGGTTCCACCAGCCCAAGCACTGTGGCATGGTACATGGCAGTACTTAGCAGTGTGTGTATCTTGGCTGCATGGGAGAGAGCTTTCCAGAGATGACAGGATGCTCACTGGTGATGTTTAAGTTCTCACACCCTGTAAGGCGTTCTCAGGAGTCCCTCTGCCTTTGGATGAGGACAGTTCCACTATATGGGAAGGGACCACACAGCTGCTTCCGAAGTCTCCTGTCACTTACAAATCCTAATGAGTCACAAGAACAATCTGCTTGAGGGGAGGGGGTCTGGAGAAGACTCTGGTGTACAAAACTGATGGTGTTAAGTTGTATCTGGGTCTTACCCAAATTCAGAAAAATTTCCCTAGTGCATATCTAGTTCAACTTTTTTCTTTTTGGGGGGGGAAGTCTTTTTGAGACAGGGTCTTCCTGTAGCTCCAGCTGGCCTTGAACTCAAGAGATCCGCCCGCCTCTGCCTCCTGAGTGCTGGAACTAAAGGCGTGCAACACCACGCCCGGCCTTTTTTTTTTTTTTTAAAAGGGTCTCACTATGCTGCCCATGACTGGCCTTGAACTTCCTGCTCAGCCTTCCAAGAAGCTAGAATACAGACTATGTCTATCTTCTAGCTCAGGTTCACTTTTTGTTAGTTTGAGAGGCCTAAGGAAAGGTGTTGAGAAAAGCTGCTCACTGTGCTAAGAGTAGAATTGTATGCGGCCTTCAGTATGTAGGCCACTGACATTTCTTAGATACATGCTCCCAAACCAATGCCAGAGACACAAATATCACACAGGGCAGAATGATTTAAAAGTCTCGTTATTTTAATACAATTCCATTGGTCAAGGTAGCATGGGCAATTGAAGTGGTTTAATTCCATTCTGAAGGATACTCTAACAACTTCAATCTTGTGTAATGTCAAATTCAGCATAACTCTTTGACCCTTAAAATAACATTTTATTTTACACATCTTGATTTTTGTTTTCCTGGAACATTTTTTTAGACCTTCAAGTATCTTGGAAACCTTTGCCCATTTGCTCAATCCTCTGGCCACAGCCTTTGTGAGCGTTTTTCTCCCACCTGTGCTGAAAAGTGGTGTTCTCCCAGTTGGTGGCAGGGCTGCTTGATGGAGGAGACCACAATGAAACGAGGAGTAAACGAGCTTTGTAAACTACTTCTGATTCTCTTAATTAGTATGCTACCATCCACCCCAGCTCCTACAAGGCCCAACATGCAAGACAAGTACTTGGCTAACACAGCAGGATTCTAACTAGTGTAAAAATATATTTTTAAATAAAATAGAATCTCTATAAGAAAGAGAATCAGGCTCTACTTTCTACCCCTGCTCTTGGTTCAGAGTGCCCATGCATTCCAGGTCTCGGAGGAGTGTTGGTCTGCTCTAAGTAAAAATCAAGACTGTTAGGGCCAGGCGTGGTGGCACACGACTTTAATCCCAGCACTCGGGAGGCAGAGGCAGGCGGATCTTTGTGAGTTCGAGGCCAGCCTGGTCTACATAGTGAGTTCCAGGACAGCTGGGGCTACAGGGAGACCCTGTCTCAAAAAGACAAAAAACAAACAAACAAACAAACAACAACAAAAAAACCCGAACATCTGAGGACATTCATTCTGCAAAGTTATAGGTAACCTTTTCAAGAAATGATACGGCACACTGCACAGAATTGAATGGTTATTAGCAACACAGGTGATGTGGTAACAACATGTAAGACATTTGGGTCAAAGGATGAGGTCCAGTCATAGTCGGAAAAAGCAATCCTGGATCATTTCAAAACTTTGGCTGATGATAAAGCAGAAAAGAAAGCCTGCCAAGGAACAGTGTGCTGTGCTAACCTGCCCAGCTACCTCTTCTAGAAGCTAAATTCCAACATGAGTCTCACTTCAGTTTTGCTCAGTTACTGCATGTCACAAATTATTTGATGTTTCTGGCTCTAGAGAAATGCACACAGCCCCTCTGTTGGCCCACAATGAGCATTATATGGCTGTTTGAAAGGGGCTCTGTTGAAATGCCAGTTTCTGGATTGAGAAGCAGCCTTTGGTTATATCTTGAAAGCATAATTGAAAATCTGCCCAGGCTCCCTCTAGCTGTAACCTGAACATGAGGCCCAACCTTCTGTAAACACTCAGCAAATACCAATCCCCACAAAACACACAATTAGTTTGTCAGAGGACTCGTTCTCTGTTTGCCCATGGACGGTAGCCCCTTGATTTTTGCTAGCCGTAGGAAACACTCTCATATATCTGAGTTGAGGAGTGCCATATAAGGCTCTTTGTATTTGACAGGCACAATTTTGTACGGAGTCACCAAAAATAAACAAAGTGGACTACCACCATTTTTCCTATATTGGCTCTATCAATCTGTCCTAGATTGTTTGTTTTTCCTGGCTAGCCCTAAAGCAAGATGAGATGGCTGCTGGGGACAAGCCAGTGCCTGGTTTACAACCCAACCTCTCTTCATGTAACAACATTCAAACAATTCTTCAACTCCCCAGGGAAAGGGAGGGATGGCAACTAGATGTGAGACTAATGCTAGGGAATTTTCCTAGCTCCTCAGCAGCCAACAGGAGCCTCTCTTGAAAGCAGCTGCTGGGGCCTATGGGAGGTTCTGTGCTTTAGTGCCAGGTAACGTTGCCTTTGAGGTCACAAAAACTTGTCATAAACCTACGTCAGAACTCAACCTCAAATACTCCAACTGAATAAATAGAACGGAAACGTGTACCACAGGAGCTACCAAGCAGGAAGGCAGAATGGCCGGCAATACCGCCCTCCTTCCACCACTCTCTGTTGGCGTCCTGTGCTCATCACACCACACACAACAAATGAAAGAGCCACAGGACTGTGGTTCATCTTCAGGCGTACTTATTAGGCCCACCCTCCCACTCAGCAAAAGTCCCAGCACACCCTGAGGTGGTGGGGAAGTCTTGGAGACAGGTGTCTCTGAAGGTCACTTGCCCCTCTTGCTTCGGCCCTTCCTGGATGGCAGCTTCCCACTGCCACCTGAGGAGGAGGGACTGGAGGCCGAGGCCATAGCGATGTTAATCTGTCCCTCCTGGATTTCCTGCCGGGTCTCAGCAGGCAGGTGGCTGATCTGCTGCTGTGTCTCCAGGTAGAACATGACATCGCGCAGCTGTTCCTGAATCTCAGTGATCTGCAGGTCCTTTTGGTCACAGGTCTCCTTCAACAACCTCTCCTCCTCCTTCAGCTTGCTCTGCAGGAGGACCTGGTTGGCTCGCAAACACTTGTTCATTTCCTGCTCCTCCTGGAGCTCAGTGGTGAGTTTGGCCACTTTGGTATTCAGTTGAGTACACCTTCAACAAAACAAAGGGAGACCAGGTAGAGAGCTAGCTCAGTGGTTAATAGCGCCTACTGTTCTTGCTGTTCTTGAGTTCAGCTCCCATCACCCACAATCAGGCTACAGCCATCTGTAATTCTAGTTCCAGGGGATCTGACACCTCTTCTGGCCTCTGCAACATCTGCATGTATGTGGTGCACATACAGACAAACACACACACACAGACACACACACACACACACGATCTAAAAAAAACAAAGGGAGACAAAGGCATGAGTTTCACTTGTGACACAGTGTCCTTTCTGCTCTAAGAAAATTGCCCATGACCTCAGCATTCTGGGGCAGGCCTTCCCTTTCTGGCCAACTCAGGTGTGTCTTCAAGGCACTCATTTTCAGCATCAGGAGCGCATGTGACCCAAAGTGATGCTTCTGACCACTTCTCTCTTTGGCATTTGCTGAACAGGTGCCTCAGAGATGCTGACCATGATAAGGGAGTTATGAAGAAAAGTGACATTCTTGGAGTCAAGTGCTCTGATCTCACTGTATTTGCTGAAGGAGGTGAAAAGGTGCTTATTCTAACCAAAAGGTTTCAAGACTGGGAGTGTCCTATTCCTGATGCCCAATTCTCCTGTGTAGAGAATGACAAATCAAAACACCACATGAAGTGCCATTTTTATGTATCAGAATCCAAAGCCAGGCACAGTAGGCTTTGGTCTGTATTCCTAAAACTCAGGAGGCAAAGGCAGGAGGACTGCCTTGAGTTCTAGGTTATATAGTAAGACCGTCTCTCAAAAAAATCCAAAGCATCGCACACCTTTAATCCCAGCACTTGGGAGGCAGAGGCAGGTGGATCTCTGTGAGTTCAAGGCCAACCTGGTCTACATAGTGAGTTTTCCAGGCCAGCTGGGGCTACAGGGAGACCCTGTCTCAAAAACACCAAAAACAAGAAAAGAAAAATACCAAAGCAAGAGCAGTGACTGCTCTTCCAAAGGACTCAATTCAGTTCCCAGCATCCACATGGTGGCTAACAACTATCTGTAATTCTAGTTCCAGAGGATCCAACACCCTCTTCTGGCCTTCACTAGCAGTGCACAACATGTGTGCACATACATGTATGTAGGCAAAACATTCATACACAAAAAATAAAAATTTAAAAACCAAAGCAAGACTGGGTCTGGTGGTACACGCCTATAATCACAGCACTTGGGAGACAGAGGCCATGAGGATTGCTACAAGTTCAAGGTCATCTTGGTCTATGTAATGATTTCCAGGCCAGCTAGGGCTACATAATGAAAATTGGTCTGAAAAAAAAAAACCAAAATTAAAAAGCAAAAATAGGGCAGGGAGATGACTCAGTGGGTAAAGGCACTTGCTGCAAAGCTTGACACCTGAGTTACATCCCTGGGACTGGGACTCATATGGTGGAAGAAGATAATGGACTCTTATAAGTTGTCCTTTAACTTTTACACACCTGCTATGGCACGTATGTGCTCACACTCACAAATAAATAAGTGTAATAAAAATTAAAATAAATAAATATAAAGCAAAAACTAAAACAAATGACAACAAAATCCCACAAAAAATACCCAAACCATATGAGCTATGGTGGTGTACATTTGTGACCCCAGCACTTGGGAGGTAAAAACAGGAGTAGGAGTTTAAGGTTATCTTTGTGAGCTCAATGCCAGCCTGATTTACATAAGGCTGTGTCCAACAAACAAACAAATATAACCTTAAAAACAAACAAGACAATGGACCGTGAACTAGAAAAACTTTGGAAAGTCATTGGCACACTCTATAAAAATGAGAAACTAGCTAGGTGTGGTGGCGCATGCCTTTAATTCCTACACTTGGGTGACAAGAGGCAGGTGGATTTCTGTGAGACTGGGGCCAGCCTGGTCTACAGAGTGAGTTCCAGGCCAGCTGGGGTTACAGGGAGACCCTGTCCTAAACACACACACATGTCCCTGACACAGCTTTTCTTTTATTCTACTGATTATCCTCTAAACTAGATATGCTTGAACTGTGCAAAAATGACACCCAGAGAAAGATGCTCACTGCAGTACTGTTTACAGTAGTGAAAGACAGACAAATGAAACATATGTAGACAATGAACTGGCTCAGATTGCTATGGGACACCTGTACAATGCAGACATGCAATCATTACAAAGATCAGGAGAGATCTAGATGTGCCAGGAGCAATAAATATCTAAAGCAGAATATTTCAAAGAGAATATTCACTATTCTATTTTTTATTTTTTTATCAAATAATTAATTTATGTGTGTGCACATGCTGCAACACTCATGTGTAGGTCACAGTATTATTTGCAGGAGTTGGTTCTCTCCTTCTACTATGTAGGTCCTGGGGATCAAACTCAGTTCATCATAGGCTTGGTGGCAAGTACCTTTACCTACTGAGCCATCTCATAGGTCCCTACTCTGTTTTCATAGAAAAATATTATTTTGAGGCAGGGTCTTGCTATGTAGCCCAGGCTGGGCTGTAACTTGAGATCTTGCTTCAGCTTCCCAAGTGCTGAGATTACAGGTTGGTACCACCAGGCCAAGGTAAAATCAGATTATACATGAGAACAGTATTAACCTATACTGTTAACTCCAGTCACCCTTGGCTAACAGAATTCAGAGGTGAGAAAGAATTTGCAGACTGTCATCTTTGTATGTATTTTTTTTTTTTTTTTTGCTAGGTTTTTTTTTTTTTTTTTGGTCTTTTTGAGACAGGGTCTCCCTGTAGTCCCAGCTGTCCTGGAACTCTATGTAGACCTCTATGTAGAACTCTACGTAGACCAGGCTGGTTTTTTTTTTTTTAAGATCCGCCTGCCTCTGCCTCCCAGCTGCCTCTGCCTCCCAAGTGCTGGGATTAAAGGCGTGCGCCACCACACCCAGCCCTAATTTCTCATTCTTAATGCTAACCGGTTATGTAGTTTTTCTTTTTTATAACAGCTTTAGATTCCCCCAAGGGGGTGCACCATTCCTGGAGGTACTGCAATACCAGGTTGATGCATGGAGTGGATGGAACAAGCTCCTATTCCAACTCCTAGTTCCAAAAATCCATTTAATATATTGTCCTCAGATAGAGGACGTATCAGATATTAAACTGGTAAGAACAGATACTACACTTGATCTTAACCAAAAGGCCAAGAAGCGGTCTCTGTAGTTCACACAGTTCTCCTGACTGCTGGAATTACAAGCGTGAGTCACCAGACCCAATTCCTGGACTTTGTAATTCTTTAACTCACATGGCAGCTAACAACTGTCTGTAACTCGAGTTCCAGGGGATTGGATGCCCTCTTCTGATGCCTGTAGGTATTGCACAACATGGGTGCACTTACATATATGCAGGCATGACACTCATACACATAAAATAAAAGCCGGGCATGGTGGCGCACACCTTTAATCCCAGCACTCGGGAGGCAGAGGCAGGCAGATCTTGGTGAGTTCAAGGCCAGCCTGGTCTACATAGTGAGTTCCAGGACAGCTGGGGCTACAGGGAGACCCTGTCTCAAAAAGATCAAAATAAATAAATAAATAAATAAATAAAAATTAAAGTTTTTATGTGCATTAATACATTGTTTCTACAACAATTAAAATTTTATTATTTAAAAAAATATTTTATTTATTATTTTTATTTTATGTGTATGCATGTATTGCCTATATGTATGTAAGTGCACCCACGTCATGCACTGACTGTGGACAACAGAAGAGGACGTCAGATCCCCTGGAACTGGAGTTACAGACATTTGTTAGCTGCTGTGTGGGTGTGGGATTCAAACCTGGGTCTTTTGCAAGAATAGCCAGTGTTCTTAACCACTGACCCATCCCTCCAACTCAACAATTAAAATTTAAAAAAATTTTAAATTTATTTTTATTTTATATGTATGAGTGTTTTGCTTGAATGTAAGTGCACCAATGTGTGCAATGCTTAAAGAGGCCAGAAGAGGGCATCAGATCCCCTAAAACTGGTGTTACAGATGGTTGTTACATGGCTATTAGATGCTATGTGGTTGCTGGGAAACAAACGTGGGTCCTGTGCAAGAGCATGCAGTGCTCTCCACTGAGCCATCTTTCTAGCCCCCAACAGTTAAAAGTTTTGAGGAGAGATTTTTTTGGGGGGAAGTGATGAAAAATTACGGAAATTCAGTGGTCATAATTACACAAAATTAAACGTAATTAATGCTACTGAACTTTACCAGTACTACACAGTGGTTAAAAAGGGGACTGGGGAGATGTCTCAGTGAAGAAGATGCTTGCTGTGCAAATGAGGACCTGAGTTCTGATTCCCAGCACCTATGTAAAAGCTGGGAATGGTGGCACACACCTATTACCCCAGTGTTGTGGGGGCCAGAGACAGGAGGATCCTAAAGATCCACTGGCCAGACAATCTAGCCGAAATGGCAAGTTCAGTGAGAGACCTTGTCTCAAAAGATAAGATGAACAATAGAGGAAGAAACTCAGTTCAATCTCGGGCCTCTGAAGGCATACCCATAGGTAAGCACAACTGTACACTCACACACACACAAAAGGAAAATTCTGTGTAACCCAATTTTCCACAATTAAAAAAAAAAAAACTTAAAATGTATTTACTTATTTTTATGTGTATGAATGTTTTGCTTGCACCTGTGTTGCACAATGCCCAAGGAGGCCGAAGGAAGGTGTCAAATTCACTGGACCTGAAGTTATGGACAGTTGATAGCTGCCAAATGGGAGCTAGGAGCCAAACCCAGGTCCTCCGCTAAGGACTAAGCCATCTTTCCAGTTCCCCAGATAGAAAATTTTTGACAGTGCAACAAAATAGATGAAGAGTACATAGAAAATCTTTTATACTGCCATTTTTAAATTTTTCCTATAAATCTAAATTTATTTCAAAAGAAAAAAACCAACACTAAGAACCAATTATCCCCCTTAACGTACTGTCATCTATTTTGTATGGTCTCATACACACACACACACAAATCCTTTCTGCAGTATAAGTTAAACCAGTGAGGTAATTTTATTTGCTTCATTTCCAGGGATCAAATTCAGGGCCTCAAGCATGCTAGGACAATGCTCTACCACTGAGCTGCAGGACAGTAATTTCCACAAATAATATGTCTTCCCAAACCACAGTAGCAGGGAACGTTGTTGCCATGCTGTTCACCAGCTTTTTGTTCCACATTTGCCACAGTTCGCCTTTACTTCCTGCCCAAGACCAAAGCCTACAACATTAGCTTAGACAAAGTCTCTTCCAATTGCCAGCTTTCAGTCTGTGGCTCCCAGATACCACAGACCGTAGATACAAGGAAACTGTTTCCCTAAAGACAAAAATGGAAGCTATCACCAGGCATGGGGGACAAGCCATCCACCTCATGTGCAATATCAACTGAACCTATCCATTTTATTTATTTATTGGGTGGGCGGGGTAGGTGGGTACATAAGTACCATGGCACATATATGAAGGTCAAAGGACAACTTTCAGGAGTTGGGCTCTCTCCTTCCACCATGTGGGTCCTGGTGATCAAACTCAGAACAGTAGGCTTGGCAGCAAGTGCCTTTACCCATGGAGCCATCTTAATGCCCCCAATTATACCTTTTTGTTGTTTTTTCAGATAGGATCTAACTGTGTAGCCCCAGCTAGCCTGAAACTCAATAGATAGACCAGGCTGGCCTCAAACTCACAGAGATCCACCTGCCTCTACCTCCCAAGTGCTGGGATTAAAGGTGTGCACCACCATACCTGGTCCCTAATTATACTTTTTAATAAACGAGAAGTCACTGTAACTTTGTTCCAACTATAAGGAGACTCCTGAAAACCCTGTGATATATATGCTTAAAACTCATAGTGTTCCCAAACAGATGAAGGTGCTTTTCTGTGTATGAACCATTAGCATGCAGTGGCTATATGAAAAGAATGCATGAAGGATACCTACTTCCTTTCCACAGACTGCTTTTCTTTCAGGAGATCATTTAGCCTGTGCTCTAGACTATCACACTTCTCGATTGTTTCTTTAAATTTGGTCTTCATGTTGTTAATCTGAAAATGCAAATAGAAGTCAGGAAAATCATATAATCCTTGGGGACTAATATCATATCCCTCCAACCCGAATTATCAGTATGTAATTCTTTAGACAAACCAAACTCAGAAAGGTGAGGTGATCCAACTGAAAGAAATTCTGTGATAGGAAAAAAAATTGTGAGAAATCCTTTTCTTCAGAACTATTTTTGTCTCCAAGGATGAACAAGGGACCAGGAGCTACAGGGTGCTCCAGGAAAACTGTTGGGAGGCATCAAGGGTTCAAGCTCTGGAGCAGAAGGTATGCAAAGTCCAGAGCACAGCCTCTCATTGTTACCTAACACCTTGCTGTTCTCTCTCCTGAGCTTACATTCCAGAAGTTACAAAACAAGCCAAAAATCAAACCAAACCAAAATACTGTCCCCAACAAACAAACAACAACAACAAAACAAAAAGAAACCTGTGAGAGTGAATTCTACTTGTTTGGTTTTGTCTTTCCCTCCTCTAATTTCTTGATGTGGAATATAAGCTGTCTATGCTTGTCTTGGGTTTATTTATAAAATATATCAGGCTAGTGCGATGGCTCAGTAGTTAAGAGTACTTACTGATTTGTGGAGGACTTAGGTTCAGTTCCTAGCACCCACATGGTAGCTCACAACTGCCTTTAACTCCAGCTCTGACAACCTCTTCTGGTCTCAGAGGGCACCAGGCACATATGCAATGCATATACACGTATGCAGGAACTCATACATACACATAAAATATACATGTGTTTTAAAAAGCAGTATATCTACAGAACTGTAATTCACATTACAGAGAAGGAATTCATTTAATATTCACTGAATTAGGTAAATTCACTTTAAAAAACCAATTTAAAGTTTTGGGTGAATGTATTTTTGATGGTAGCAGACCCAGCCAAGAGACTACTAGAGTCTAACTAGGGGACCCTCTGCAATGATCTAGACATGAGAATCACTTCAACTCTGCTATCTGCTGGAAAGGGATTAGGTAGGCAGTGGAAGTGGGGTGGGGCCGGAGGTGGGGGACACCAGGAGGCCAAAGGAAGTAAAAGTGGCTGAGATTCTAAATGCCCCAATCCAAGTGCTTGCTGAGTTTCACAGGCAGTATTTCACTTGTTCATTGTAGCAAGGCAATGTCAGAGAAAATTCAACTTTTAGTGGAAACTGAGGCAAAAAAAGCCAAGGCTGTTTTCCCAGGGTCACTGAGCAGGAATGTGATAAATCTAGCTTAGGACCAAGCCTGGCTCCAAAGCAAGCTCTAAACCCTTCTCTGTATGTTGGAGGCCAATGCTTTAAAGTGAAGGGATGGAACTTCTGCTTGTGACATGTGATATCCAACACACTAGAGAAAGGGTAGAATTTTAAACATTCATTTGTTCATCCATCCATCCATCCATCCATCCATCCATCCATCCATCCATCCATCCAATTTATAGACAGGGTCTCCCTGTAGCCCCAGATGGCCTGGAACTCACTATATAGACCAGGTTAGCCTAGATCTTCACAAAGTCCACCTGCTTCTACCTCCAAAGTGCTGGGATTAAAGGTGTGTGCCACCAAGCCTGGCTATTTTATTTTTCAAAGACAAGGTTTTACTTTGTAGCCCAGACTAGCTTGGAACTCAGTAAGTAGGCTAGGCTGACCTTCAACTCAAGACAATCCTCTTGCCTGAGCCTCTCAAATTCTAGGATTACAGGTATGAACCACCATGTCCAGCTACTCCAATACTGTTTTCAAGTAAGACACCACTAGACCCTTCTGCTATTTTCTCCTAAATTCACTCTTCAGAGCAGTTGGGAAGAACAGAAATTAGTGCCAAAGAGACTTAAACTGTGTATGTTTCAATCAAGAAAAATTTTAAGCCACGCACATTTAAATCAAGGTGAAGCTTTTTGAGGTTTCATATAGCCCAGGCTGTCCTAAAACTCACTATGAAGCCCAGGATGGCCTTGGACTTCTGATTTTCCTGCTTCCTCTTCTCAAGTGCTGAGATTACAAGTGTGTACTAGTATGGATATCTGAAAAACGTTCCAGTACTGCTACAGACAGATGCTCTAATTTAAGTTAGTGTTTTTTGAAACATTTCTTTCTTTTTCTTTTTTTTTGGTTTCCCTGTAGCCCCAGCTGGCCTGGAACTCACTATGTACACCAGGCTGGCCTTGAACTCATAGAGATCCGCCTGCTGGGATTAAAGGCGTGCACCACCACACCTGGCCTGAAACATTTCTAAGTATTAGCCTACAGTAAGAAACACCCAAAAGGACCAGAAAGATGGCTCAGGGAGTAAAGGCATTTGCTGTGCAAAGCTGGTGAAATGAGTTCAGTCCCCAGAACGGATGGTAAAGGTGGAAGGAGAAAACCAATTCTACAAAGCTATCCTCTGAGTTCTATGTACACTTGCACACACACATATACCTGCAAATTCAAGGGAAAAAAAAGCCAGGCATGGTGGCACATGCCTTTAATCCCCACACTTGGGAGGCAGAGCTTTCTGAGTTTGAGACCAGCCTGGTCTACACAGTTCCAGGCCACCTGGGGCTACAGGGAGACCCTGCCTCAAAAAGACCAAAAAAAAAAAAAAGGAAAAAAGAAAAGAAAAAAAAGAAATACCCAATAGATACACATGACAGAAACAAGCTTCATAAAACATTCAATGTGATGTACTTTAATTTTACATCTATCATAGTCTGTGTAATTCTGTGTAATAAAAAATGCAGTTGTCCAAACTGATTTCATAATTCATAACTGAAAAAACAAGGATTTAAATGGAGCTAGAGGTCTGAAAACATGTATCAGTTAGGGGCGCCACCTACAGTGCCTGCCTACTATGTGTTTTGGGGCTCTTAAGAGCTTTTTTTGTTTTTTTTTTAAACTTTTTGAGACAGGGTCTCCCTGTAGTCCCGGTTGGCCTGGAACTTGCTATGTAAACCAGGCTGGCCTCCATCTCACAGAGATCTGCCTGCCTCTGCCTCCCAAGTATTGGGATGAAAGGTGTATGCCACTACCTCTGACTTTGGGGGTTTTTTGTTTGCTTTGTTTTCTTTTATTTTGTGAGACAGGGTCCTGAGCCCTGGCTAGCATGTTACTCACTAGATCTATTGTATGTGAACCAATGTCTTCAAGTGACTATGAGCATCAGCTCCTGGACTCCAATGACATGCTGTAAGAATTGCATGACCTCAGGATTTGCAAAGTCCATGGTTTCAGCTTTGGTCCATCACCATCCCCAACCCCACCACCTCTGTGAATGTTGAAGCCCATGAATCTGTCACTGAAACCCAGGGTCCAGGTCATAGTATATGCTCTACTGCTATGAAACCCAGGGTCCAGGTCCTAATATATGCTCTACTGCTAAGGCTGCTAATGGACAGAGGAGTGGTCACAAAAGGACAGTGAAGGACAAAGGGCTTACATCAGCCATGAACTTATGGACAAATGTCATTTGTCACTAGAAAACAAAGGCATCCTTTTACACACTGCAAGCTTTCATCTAAAGCTGCCCTGGCTCTGGTCACCCCAACCTGAAATCAAATGTGATTGAGAGCCATGGTGTTTCCTTCCCTGGACCCGACTTGCTTCTGCTGGCATCTTAGGGAATACATTTAATCCTAAAGAATCTTAGCTGAGCTCTCAAGGATCTGTGTGAAGCACTTTAGGTGGTCACGCTGGTGTATCCCATAGAAAAACCCATTAGCAAGGCTGTAGCAGCACTGCCAACTTGCCTCCCAGAGAGCCCACAATGTGACACTGAGTAACAGTGATCCTGCTTTGCCTCCTGAGTTCAGGTAGGTATGTCCTTCCTGCATGTGCTCAAATCAAGTCCTATTCATGAGAGAAAGTCAAGTGTCCTCAAGGGCCTCTGGATGAGCACTTCCACTGTATGGAAGGTTCTTGTCTAAGAATTTCAGCAATGCTTTTTAACTAAAGATCATTTCAAAGATGGCATTAAGCATTAGTTGTTTTAAAAATCTTTTTCTATCATATATAAGGCCTAGGTAATAGTAGAGACTAACATGATCTTTTAGAAAATTTAAAAACCTTCATTTAATACTAAGGGAACCACTGAAATCCAGACACTGTTCCTAGGCCCACAGCATGGCTGCTGGTTTTCAAACCACTTTCTCTGGAGCCTCAAAGTTCTTCAAACATCAAAGAAACCAGGAGAAAAGCATACAGAGCTCAGGCCCTGCACTCACATTTCTGCTAAATCGCATCACTTTTCTTTTTGTGTGTTGAGTTCACTTTGCAGACCAGGATGGGATTAAAGGCATGTGGTACCATTCAGGCTCAAATGACTTTTTTTTTTTTTAATGGGTATGCGTGTATTGCCTGCATGTAGGTAAATGTACCCATGTCATGCAATGTGTGTGGAGGACAGAAGAGACTATCAGATCCCCTAGAACTGGAGTAATGGACAGTTGTTAGCTGCCATGTGGATGCTGAGATTCAAACCCAGTCTTCTGCAAGAACAGTCAGTGTTCTTAACCACTGTGCTATCTCTCCATCCCCCAGATGACCTTTTTTTTTTTTTTTTTTTTTTTTTTGAGACAGGGTCTCCCTGCAGCCCCAGCTGTCCTGGAACTCACTATGTAGACTCTGTGGCCTTCAGCTCACAGAGATCCACCTGCCTCTGCCTCCCAAGTGCTGGGACTAAAGGCATGTGCCACCATGCCTGGCGACTTTTTTTAAAAAAAGAAAAATTACTATTTTGGGGCTGGAGAGATGGCTCAGTGGTTAAGAGTACTAGCTATCCCAACACCCACATGAAGGCTCACAACAACCTATAATTCCAGTTCCAGGGATCTGACATTCTCCTCTGGTTTCCTCAGGTACCAGGCACATATATGGCGCACATACATATGCATACATATGGTGCAGGCAAACTCTCAAACACATGAAATAAAAATAGACACATCTTGGTTTTTTTTTTTTTTTTTGGTCTTTTTGAGACAGGTTCTCCCTTTAGCCCCAGCTGTCCTGGAACTCACTATGTAGACCAGGCTGGCCTTGAACTCACAGAGATCAAGGCCTGCCTCTGCCTCTGGAGTGCTGGGATTAAAGCCGTGCGCCACTACGCCCGGCCCTAGAGGGATTCTTTTGTTAAAACTGGTAACTGCAGCACCAGACTAGTAATCTACCAGGGTGCCATAGAAGCCCTACCATTTTTCTTTTCTTTTTTTAATTTTTTTTATTTTTTATATTTTATTATTTTTATTTTATATGTATGAGTGTTATGCCTACATGTAGGTAAGTGCACCCGTATCATGCAATGCCCACAGAGGCTGTCCGATCCTCTGGAACCGGAGTTACAGACAGTTGTTAGCTGCCATGTAGGTGCTGGGATTCGAACCTGGGTCTTCTGTAAGAACAGTCAGTGTTCTTAACCACTGAGCCATCTCTCCAGCCCCTGAAGCTCTACCATTTCTGCCCAATTTATATCCTTCAGTTCTGAAGGCCTCAGCCCCATTTTGTTCCCTCAAGTTCACATTCAGCTCTCAAAACAGCTGTTCCCAAGCTGACAAACTGGCTGCTGACCTATAGTGCAAATTCTTGAGCACACTCTTCCGTGGTTTTTGGATTTTGAGAGGAGGAATTCCTGTTAATCACACTGCAAGGGAGCAGTGGGCTGGGCAGTTGCTGGGTACTGCCTGTCCACTTTTATGCTCTTAATGAAACTGCATAAAGTGCTAGAACTGATTGAGGTACAGAACAAAAAGTCCAGGCTAGAGAGATGGTCCAGCAATTTAATACTGGCTATTCTTGCCCAGCATGGTGGTGCATGCCTTTAATCCCAGCACTCGGGAGGCAGAGGCAGGCAGATCTCTGTGAGTTCAAGGCCAGCCTGGTCTACATAGTGAGTTCCAGGACAGCTGGGGCTACAGGGAGACCCTGTCTCAAAAAGATGCCCCCCCACCCAAATACTAGCTGTTCTTGTAGAAGTCCCTATTATAGCAGACTCCAACACCCTCTTCTGTCCTCCCTGGGCACTGCATGACATGGGTGCACTTACACACATGCAGGCATAACATTCATCCACATAAAATAAAAATAAAATAAAAAAATAAAAAATAAAAACAAAAGACCCCAATAAATCCTTAAGACCCCACACATCAAGACAATCTTTTAAATCCAAGGTTTCACTGGGCGTGGTGGTGCATGCCTGTGGTCCCAACACTTGGGAGGCAGAAGAGGCAGATCTCTGTGAGTTCAAGACCACTTGGTCTACACAGTTCCAGGTCAGCTGGAGCTACAGGGAGACCCTGTCTCAAAAAGACCAAAAAACTAAAAAATAAAAATAACCCAAGGTTTCTTTTTAGAGGCCAAACACTTCTCTCCTGATCATCACCCAGCAAAGGGAAGATTCTCAAGACTGCTCTTCCCTGCTCTTTGCCCTCCCCTACTCACCATGAGATGGTCATACACCATGGCATTTCAGTCACCAAACCATACATAGACTTACTTCTTCCGCTGTGTCCTTCTCTATCCGAACTATCTTGTTTTCCCAGTAGATTCGCTGAGATTCCAGCTGGCTTGTTAGTAAATATGAATACTAGAAACAGAATAAGCAACAAAACATAAGTCATCTGTCAGTCTCTGAAACCAGAGAAAACCTACCCTTTCGTGACTGACAAAATTCTCTATCAGAATCAAACAGCAGAATTCCTTCTAAAGACATTGTCTCACCATGTTGCCCAGGGTGGTCTCACACAAAGGCACAGGCAATCTTCCCACTTTAGTCTCCCGAGTTTTGGGACTTCACACTTATACCCTGTGTCAGCTCATCAGAACGTTACACTTGGGTTCAACCCAGGTCAGTAGGCACTGGGCCAGAAGCAGAGAGGAGCTTGCAAATCTAGCTAGGAAAAATGAAGGAATTCACATTTACTTTTATTTTTTATAATTCTGTGTGGTGTCTTTTCATGTACGAATGTGTATGTGTATGTGTGCATGTGAACGCCAGAGGTCAACCTCTGGTATTTGTCTCAGGAGGTATCCACCTTGTGTTTTGAGAAAGGGTCTCTCATTGGTCTGGATCACCAAGTAGGCTAGGCTGGCTGGCCAGTGAGCATCATGAATTTGCCTGCCTCTACCTCCCCAGTACTGAGATTACAAAATTGCACAACCACACCCAATTTTTTTTAGGTGGGTTCTGGGGAGTGAACTCGGGTACTCATGCTTGCATAGCAAACACTTTACCAATTAAGATACCTCCCCAACTGCTGTTGCTATTGTTTTTTTTGGTTTTTTTGTTTTTGTTTTTTTTCTGGTCTTTTTGAGACAGGGTCTCTCTGTAGCCCCAGCTGACCTGGAACTCGCTATGTAGACCAGGCTGGCCTCAAACTCACAGAGGCCACCTGCCTCTGCCTCCCAAGTGCTGGGATTAAAGGTGTGTGCCACCACGCCTGGCTGTTCCTATTGTTTTTAATCTATTTTATTTATTTCTGTGTATGAGTGTTTTGCTTACATGTATGTTAAGTACACTATGTGCATGCAATGCCTGTGAAGGCCAGAAAAGGGCATCAAATCCCCTGGAACTGGATTATGGACTGCTGTTACCTTCCATGTGGGTGCTGGGAATCAAACCCAGGTCTTTTGCAAGAGCAGCCAGTGCTCTTAACCACTGAGCCATCTCTCCAGCCCCCCTTCTCTTTTGGGGTTTATTGATCTTTTTGAGACTGGCTCTCCCTGTAGCCCCAGCTGGCCTGGAACCTGACTCGCTCTGTAGACCAGGTTGGCCTCAATCTCATAGAGATCTGCCTGCCTCTGCTCCTCCCACCCCCCAACCCCACCCCTCCCCAGCTCTGGGATTAAAAGCTAAAGGTGTGTGCTACCACACCAGGCTCCTTTTTGGTTTTTTTGATTCAAGGTCTCATGTAGCTCAGGGTGGCCTTGAGCTCCTGATTCCCCTACCTCTACTTCCTCACTATGAATGTAGACTTACACAACTTATTCTGGTCCAAACAGTATTAAGAACAAAGGATTAAATTTATGCATAGTTCAAAGCCAACGGTGTAGCTTAGTGGTAAAGTGTACCCTTAGCTTGCTTTCTGAAATTCTGGGTTCTACTATCAGCACCCCTCACCCATACAGAACTGCAGCCAAGTCTTCCACCTCTGCTCCTCAGGTTAAGTGTTCCCTCCTCACTTCCTCAGCACCATTACTATCATTAGCAGCCTTCAGGACACTACTGCTTAGTCAAAGGTTTACACACCCATCACCTTGACTAGAGTGTGAATTCTGGAAGTTGAGGGCTATATTTTATCTCTGTATCTGCCTGGCACACACTGGATGTCAAGAAATGTTTGCTGTAGATGGCACGAACCAACAGTAGGGCAAAGATGGCAGACTGCAGTAGGACTGCTAGGACTTCTGAGAGTAGGTGAGATTGAGAGCTCCTGACAGATGAGATAAACAGACATCTGAATCCAGAGAACTGAAGGACCAGCACAGGGTCTCTTCAGTGTGAAGACATAATACCAATAGTGTGTATAATACAGAGAGATGGGGCCACAGAAGGCAGAGTATTAAGATCTGTGGGCAAACGGGAATTCAAGGCCAAGATGTGGCAAAGTCACATCTCCATTTGGGAAAGACCATTCTAGAAGATGAAGGGATCTAAAGACATGTTTGTAGGCTAGAGAAAGGGCAGTTAGGAGACTGTGATGGTAGAATGTTGCTCCATGGTGTTGGGAAGTTGGTTTAATGCTGTATTCAATTAAATCTGTAGTGGCTGACAGAGTAGACCTCAAAAAACTCCCTCCCTCTCTCTTCCTTTGAGACAGGTTCTCACTATGTTGCCCTGCTGGGTCTAGAACTCACAGAGATCTGCCTGCCTCTGCCTCTCTAAGTTCTGGGATGAAAGGCATGTATCACCATGTCCAGCCTCTTTTTTTCTTTTTTTTGGTGAGATACTAAGGATCAAACCAGGGCTTGGTGCATGCTGGGCAATTGTTTTAACCACTGAGTCACAGTCTCAGACTGACAAACTATTTCTTTTTAAAAAAAATATTGGGGTTGGAGAGATGGCTCAGTGGTTAAGAGCACTGACTGCTCTTGCACAGGACCCAGGTTCGACTCCCAGCACCCACATGATGGCTGCAAACCATCTTTAACTCCACGGCACTGCACAACACAGGTACACTCACTAACATATATGTAAGCACCTGTGCTGTGCAATGCCTACGGAGGTCAGAAGGGGGTGCTGGATCCTCTGGAACTGGAGTTATAGACAGTTGTTAGTTAGCCATCATGTGGGTGCTAGAAACCCAACCAGGGTCCTCTGCAAGAGCAGTCAGTGCTCTTAACCACTGAGCCATCTCTCCAGCCCTAGCAAACTATTTCTTTGTTTAAAAATTTTTATTTATTTTTATTTTATGTGTATGAGTACATTACCTGTTTGTAGGTAGGTGCACACATGTCAGGCAATGCCCACAGAGGTTAGAATAGGGTATTGTTATGGACTGTTGCTAGCTGCCATGTGGGTGCTGGGAACTGAACCCAGGTCCTCTGTAAGAGCAGTCAGTGCTCTTAACCCTTGAGCCATCTCTCCAGCTCTAACAAACTATTTCTTAAATATACAAGATGTGTATGACATATTTAACAGGTAATGTGGAAGAGTTACTTATTCTAAAAACTTAATTTCAAGGGTCTGACCTCTTCTAGGTCAGTATAATAAATCACTGATAATATATTAGCCTTATTTAAAGCTATTTTTCTGAATCTATCAGCAAGTCAAGGATTTGGAGTTATTTGCTTTTTTTGGCTTAAATTTCTTTATTTGTTTTTATTTTTTTGAAATTTATGTAAAACAGGACTCACACTGAAACTTCCCCTTCATTAACACAGAATTTCACATGGGCATGGTAGCATACCCCTCTAATCCTAGCACACAGGAAGTGGAGTCAGGAGGATCACCAGTTTGAGGTCAATCTGGGGCTACATGGCAAGATGCTGTCTTAAAAACAAAACAAGGGGCTGGAGAGTTGGCTCAGTGGTTAAAAGCACTAGGACCCAGGTTCAGTGCCCAGCACCCACATGGTAGCTAATAATCTTCTGTAACTCTAATTCCAGGGAATCTGATACCTTTTTCTGGCCTCCAAAAGCACTGCATGCATGTGGTGCACCTACACAAAGGCAGGTAAACACCCCAAACCAAAACAAACAAAACCAGCACATTAAAAAAAAAAAAAAAAAGCCCGCCGGGTGTGGCAGCGCACGCCTTTCATCCCAGCACTGGGGAGGCAGAGGCAGGCAGATCTCTGTGAGTTCAAGGCCAGCCTGGTCTACACAGTGAGTTCCAGAACAGCTGGGGCTACAGGGAGACCCTGTCTCAAAAAGACAAAAAAAACAATAACAAAAACAAAAAAAAAACCCCACATAAAACAAAACCCAATCAAACAAGTAACATTTAAGAATTCACTTATAGTAGAACAATTTTATAGTAGACAGCTTTTACTGCCATGGAAAAAAAATTAGATTGTACTAAATTTATTGTTTCTTCAAATATATACACAATAAAAAATGGCTTTAAAGATATAAGCCTCTGGGGCTGGAGAGATGGCTCAGCGGTTAAGAACACTGTTCTTGCAGAAAGCCCAGGTTAGAATCCCAGCACCCATATGGCAGCTAACAACTGTCCGTAACTCCAGTTCCAGGGGATCCGACAGCCTCTTCTGACCTTCACAGGCATTGCACAGCACGGGTGCACTTACCCACATGCAGGCAATACACTCATGCACATAAAATAAAAATAATAAATAAAATATATTTTTAAAAAAGATAGAAGCTTCTAATTAAAAAACACATACTTGAAGTACACAGCTGCATGTAAATGTCAAAGTTTCTAATTACTAAGACACCAGCTGAATGAACTGCTTCTGAGGCAGGAGAGGTACTGCTGGGTTTCTCTCATTCCAGCTGCTACTGTGATGCCACCAGGAGCATTCTGTCAATTTCATTGCTGCTGCAGAAGATAACCTTAATTGCCTTAATTAATGAACCTGAACTTGAAGAGAACCAGGAAACATCATGCTGAAAATAATAAGGTACAGGGGAGCTCAGACTTTCAAAAAGAAACACAAAATAAAAACATTTTATAAGTTCTTCACAGCAATGACAGAACTAAAAAAAAAGTTTCTATACAGCAAATGACAACATTAAAAGACTGTGGCATCTTTCTAGTTGCAATGGAAAGGCAGCAGATACAGGCACTAAGTGACAGCTCACAAGTATCTTACCTCTAACTGTAAGGCATCTATTTTCTCTTCCTGGCAGGTGTCACCCTCACACTCATACTGCACAATCTTTCCATCTGTCTTACTTGCAACCAGTCGATGGACATAATTATCTAAAGAAAAGAATGAGTCAACCAAAGTGGATTTCTTCAGAATGAAAAGCTCTTTATGAGCATTTAACTGGGAAAAGGTGTCTGTTTTTGCAGATTTAAATTCAATGTCTTGTCATAGTCCCTTAAAAATGGGTCAAATCATTTGAACTCTGGAGAGAGTCAGAGGGGAAGAATGGAAGTATAAAGTCTCTTTATAATGCATGATTCAGGCCATTCCTAAGCAATGGTGCCCTCAGGGGCAACCATGAGAATCTGAGTTTGCCACAGCCGTCAGGGGATGACATTTCAAGCTGTGAGGGAGAGAGGATAGAAAGGAAGTTTCCACAGAGGATGAATCCAAATTAGGAAAGCAGAGCAGTATTCACCTCCAGCATAGTCCCACACTCGATGGTTAGTGAGCTGCATGGCGTATGTGTGCTGGGTCTCCTCAAAATGTTTGTAGGCATGTCGGCTTACATATCGACCACATCCTATATGACCACATATTAAACAAATCCAGAGGTTCTGCCAAGAGGGGAGATCTTAATTAGTTAAAGAGGAGTACATGACCTGGCCCACTTGATTTGGAAAGGGGCCAACAAAGAATTATGACTTAAAAGTTATTTCCACAAAACTTTTGAATAAGAAGGTTTAAAACCCAACAATCAAGGATGCTTTATGGGTTAGTCACTTTCTGGCTTCTGAAGACTTCTAAACAGCAAGAAAAATTCACAAATGATCATGGACATATAAGTCTTTTAAAAGAATAGCAAATAAAAGCATGAAGTAGTTTGTTTAGGAGTAACATATTTCTGTATTCATATGTCTGACTGTAGACAAAAAAAAAATTAGTCTCAAAGAATTTAAGCTGTCCTCGGCAAAAGAAAATCCAGACCAATAAAAGTGTTCATTATTCCTTCTCACCAGTCATTACTTACTTCCTGAACACCACATTCAAAACACTTGTTTTCTTCTACTGGCTCTGGTGTTTGACAGTATCGGCAAACAGGACACCTATCCAGAACACCAAAAGATGAGGGTGCAGATTAGATACAAAAGAAACCTGTCTCCAAACCCCAAAATTAAAACCGAGACTTTGAAAACCCTTCCTTCTCATGAACTTTTTGTTTGGTTGGTTTTTGTTTGTTTTGTTTTTGAGACAGGGTCTTATTATGTAGCCCTGACTGACCTGGAATTCGTGTGTGGACCAGACTGGCCTCCAACTCACAGAGAGTCATTTACCTCTGCCTCCTGAGTGCTGGGCTAAACATTAAACATGTCTGTTGCCACACCCAGCCTATTTTTTAAAGACTTATTCTATTTATATGTGTGTGCACATGCGTGTGTGCCTGCAGAAACCAGAAGAGGATGTTGGATCCCTTGGAACTGGAGTTACAGGTGGTTGTAAGCTGCTGATGTGGGTGTTGGAAACTGAACTCAAGTCCTATTAAGAGCAGCACAATCAATCCTCTTAATCACTGACCCACCTTGCCAGCCCCTCATATGCTTACATGTATGTAAGTGCACCTGTCTCATGCAATACCCTTGGAGGTCAGAAGAGAACACTGGATCCTCTGGAACTGGAGTTACAGATGGTAATTAGCTGCCATGTGGTGCTGGGATTCGAACTCAGGTCTTTTGCTAGAGCAGTCAGTGCTCTTAACCACTGAGCCATCTCTCCAGCCCCCACATGCTATTTTTTAATATTTTTATTGAATTTTTGTGTATTTCATATAAAACATCTTCATCATCTTTATACTCCTTTCCCCATTGGCACCTTCCCATAGCCCCCTCACTGGAATTCATACATTCTTTCATTTGTATTAAGACCTATCATGTCAAGTTAGTGTCCCCAGATGTCCCTCAGTGCAAAGTTCATTCACTGAGGTCTAGTTAGCTATCTAAAGTCCCTCCCTTTTGCTATTTTCAAGTTGACATTTTCCTGCTGTTATTTTAACTTTTACAATAACTAAAAGTATTACTTAAAGACCAAACATTTTTGAGCCATTCTAAAACAAAATGAAATTCTTTAAAATCTTGATAAAGTGGAGGAAAATGAGAAAAATGTGTTGCATACCCTTTACCAATCTCCTAACACTTAGATGATCAGAGAATGATGTATTTACAGGCTAGAGTTAAAAGTTTGTTTTCATGTCTGGTTATCCATAGCCATGTTTTTACTTCAAAAAATACCTTATCCCCATTTGCCAAAGATGTAGTCATGAAAGAATGTACTTAGTCCTCTCTAGGTTTCTTCTAAGACTGGCACCTACAATCTACTGTGGAAAACAAAAACAAAAACAAAAACTTTTTGGGGGCTGGAGAGATGGCTCAGTGGTTAAGAGCACTGACTGCTCTTGCAGAGGACCCAGGTTCAAATTCCAGCACCCACCTGGCAGCTAACAACTGTCTGTAACTCCAGTTCCAGGGGATCTGGTGCCTTCTTCTGACCTCCTCTGGCACTGCACAACATGAGTGCACTTATACACATGCAGGCAATACACTCATATACATAAAGTAAATAAATAAATAAAAACGACATTGATAGCTACACGTGGTCATACATGCCTGTAATCCAACACTCAGGAGGTAGAGGCAGAAGAATCTTGAGTTCATGGCTACCTAGGGATGCATAGTGGATCCCATCTTAAACATAAAATATACACATAAAAATAATATACACATAAAATAAAAATAATTTTTTTTAAAAAAGAAATTGTCTCATGCAGTCCCTTCTGGCCTTGAACTCTCTATATAGTTGAAAATGACCTTTAACTCCTGGTTCTCCTGCTTCACCTCCCAAGTGCTAGTATTCCAGTTGTGTGTGCTACCACAGACAACTGGATTAACCCTTTTCTGTTATACTAAAGATGACATGATATTCAATACTGGTCATGAATATATTTTGTCTGATGGGCAAACATGACAGAAAGTAGGATACAGTTGTAGCTGACTCCAATGCCACTAAGAAAGAAATCTCAACGTGTAGCTAGCATCTGTTTCTTCCTTAGTCACTAAGACCTAGAAAAAGAAACAAGCAGGAAGAATGCCAAGTTCTTGCACAGACAAGAAGGCTCTATTTGTTTCCCAAGAGACAGCTGAAGGCTCCATACTGTCTCTTTATTATTGAAAGAAGATGGGGGCCAGGAGTGGTGGTACACACTTATAATGTCAGCACTTAGAAGGCAGAGGCAGGAGGACTGCTTAAAAACAAAAACAAAAACTTTTGGGGGGCTGGAGAGATGGCTCAGTGGTTAAGAGCACTGACTGCTCTTGCAGAGGACCTGGGTTCAAATCCCAGCACCCACATAGCGATTAACAACTGTCTGTAACTCCAGTTCCAGGGGAGTTTGAGGCCAGCCTTGGGCTACATAATGATTTCCAGGTTGGCTGGGCTTACATAGTGAGGCCTTTTTTTTTTTTTTTTGGTCTTTTGAGACAGGGTCTCCCTGTAGCCCCAGCTGTCCTGGAACTCTCTATGTAGACCAGGCTGGCCTTGAACTCACTGAGATTGGCCTGTCACTGCCTCCCAAGTGCTGGGACTAAAGGCATATGCCACCACGCCTGGCCCGAGACCTTTTTTTTTTCAGGGGCAGGGGGAGATATTATTTTATGTGTATTAAAGTGCACTACATGCATGCAGTGCCCAAGAAGACCAGAAGAGGGCATCAGATCCCCAGGAGCTGGAGTTATAGAAGGTAGTGAGCCACTTGATGTAGGTGGGTACTAGAAACTAAATCTGGGTCTTCTGCAGGAGCAGCAAGTGCCCTTAACCAGTTAGCCATCTCTGCACTTCCCCTTGTTTGTTTTTGAGATGAGTTCTCATGTAGTGCAGGCTGGCCTCAATCTTGCTATGTAGCCAAGGTTGACTCTGAACTTCAGATCCTCCTACTTCCACTTCCCAAGTGCTGGGATTATAGGCATGTGCCACTACATCTGGTATTATGCAGTGTTGAGGACTGAACTCAGGGCTTCATGCATGCTCAACAAGCATGTACCAACTGAGCTAAATCTCTAGACTTGACACCTTGTTTCAAAAGAACAGAAAAAGAGCAGCGAAGGTTGTGGCTCAGTGGTAGAACCTATGCTTGCCATTAGCTCTCGCAAAGTACAAAAAAGAAAGGGCTGGGGAGGAGTTCAGCAGTTAAGAGCAATGACTGCTCTTGCAGAGAACCCAGGTTTGGTTCCCAACACCCACATGGCGGCCTAACAACCATTCACAACTCCAGTTTCAGGGGATCTGGTGCCCTCTTCTGGCCTCCATTGGCACTGCATGCACGTGGTACACTTACATAAAAGCAAAACAATCATACACATGAAATAAAAACTTTTGTTTTGTTTTCTTTTTTGAGACAGGGTCTTCCCTGTAGCACCAGCTGGCCTGAACTCGCTATGTTGACCAGGCTAGCCTTGAACTCACAGAGATCCGCCTGCCACCCCAGTGCTGTGCCACCACTTTCCACTCAAAAACAATTTTTTTAAAAAAAAGACAGAAAAAGAGAACTGAACAGAAACTTAGACGTAGTAACAGAAATGGATGATGGTCTATAACCAGTCAGTCAAAGGTAGAAACTAGCCTTCTTAGGTATTCCTTCTGCCTGTGTGGTGACTACAGCAGAGACTGGACAGGAAAAAAAAATAATTCTGTAATATACTTCTCATTAGATCAAGTGCTAGAATCTTTGTAGAATGTAAATTTGATTGTGAGATAGAAAAAGGAAACTATTTAAAACAAACCCATTTGTACCACACAATTAGTACACTGTATCATATTACCTATCAAAAAGTTTTACTGAACAATTACAGCTCCCTCCCAAAAATGATCTTGAGTTTTTGCCACTGCTGCCTCCTCCTCTTTATGAGATAGGCTTACTCTGTAGCCCAGGATAGCCATGAACTCACAATAGTCTGCCTCAGCCTCCTAACTGTTGGGATTGTATGCCTGAGACATGAGTTACCATATCTGCTTTTTCATTTTTGTTTTTAAAAAAATTTTTTATTTTTATTTTATGTGTACAAGTGTATTGCCTGCATGTAAGTGAGTGCACTCGTGTCATGCAATGCCACGGAGGTCAGAAGAGGGCTTCAGATTCCCCAGGAACTGGAGTTAAAGACAGTTCATAGCCGCCATGTGGGTGCTGGGAATTGAACCTGGGTCCTCTGCAAGAGCAGTCAGTGTTCTTAACCGCTGAGCCATCTCTCCAGCCCCTTTTTTTGTCTTTTTGAGACAGGGTCTCCCTGTAGCCCCACCAGCTGTTCTGGAACTCACTATGTAGACCAGGCTGGCCTTGAACTCACAAAGATCCGCCTGCCTCTGCCCCCCAAGTACTGGGATTAAAAGGCAAGCACCACAATGCCCGCTCTGCTTTTTCTTTTGAGACAGGTTCTAGTGTAGCCCAGGCTACCCTTGAATTCTTCACCCTCCTGTCTCCAATCCTCAAGTGTTGGCATGGTGCACTTACCTATCTTCTCACTTTTGTCCTTGCTGACTGACTGTGTGTGTTGTGTACTGGGGCTCTCGTGCCATGTGTGCAAGTCAGAAAACAACTCTGTGAAACTTGTTCTTCCCTTACAACTTTTTGTGAGTTCTGGGAATAGAACTCAGGTTGCTAGGCCTGTATGGCAAACATCTTTACTGCCTGAGCCACCTCCCTGGCCCTTCTTTTTTTCTGAGATGGCTCCATGTAGTTCAGGCTGGCTTCTCACTATGTAGCTGAGGATGACCTTCAACTTCTCACCTCTCCCGCCTGCTACCAGGGATTGAACCTACAACCTCATGAATGTTGGTCAAGTACACCCTGCAAGAGTTTTTCTTTTTTTTAAATCTTTCATTATTTAAAATTTTTGTGTATGCATCCAAGTGCACCTGTGTCATGCAGTGCCTGCAGAGATCAGAAAGGGCATCAGATCCTGGAACTCGAATTACGGGCTGTTGTTAGCCACCATGTGGGCACTGAGAATTAAACTCAGGTCTTCTGCAAGAACAGTCAGTGCTCTTACCTGCTAAGCCATTTCTCCAGCCAGGGTTTTTCTTTTATTGCATTTATTCATTTATTTATTTACTAATATGTGTACGCACCGCATGTGGAGGTCAAAAGACAACTTGTGGGAGTCAGTTCTCTTTTTCCACCAAGTGGGTCCTGGGGATGGAACTCAGGTCGTCAGGTTTGGAGGCTAGTAGCTTTACTCACCAAGCCATGTCACTGGCTCAAGACATCACTTCATAGATGGCCATGCTGTATCAGCCCAAGATGTCTAGTCACAACATTGCACATTGCTCCTTTGTGACACCTGTTGAAGCTATCATCTCACACATCCCATGTGCTTATTTGTCTATTTTCTCTTCTGTCCTGGGAAACCCATGAGGTCAGTGTGTGATTCACTGTCCAGCTGAGCTCCACAGTGCAGTTTATGAGCTTTTTATGTGTATATATGTGGGGAGCAAGGAGTGTATGTATGTGCCTGCTCTGTTCCTTCATATGGAAGTTAAAGGAAGATGTCAGGTGTCCTTCTGTATCATTCTCTACTTTATTCCTTTGAGCCAGGATCTCTCATTGCAACTGGACCCCATGTTTTCAGCTACACTGGCAGTTAGCAAGCCCCAGTGATTCAGTCTCTCTCCCTCCTCCTTGCTCCTGTGCTGGGACTACAACCCTGTGTGAGACTATGCACAGCTTGTCACATGGGTGCTGGGATCTCAACTCTGATCCTCATCCTTGCACAGAAAGTGCTCTTAACTATCCAGCCATCTTTGCCCACACCTCCACACACATCCAGCTGCGGCTGGAAAGATGGCTCAGCAGTTAAGAACACTGACTGTTCTTGCAGAAGATCTGGGTTTGAATCCCAGCACCCACATGGCAGCTAACAATTGTGAGTAACTCCAGTTCCAGGGGATCTGACAGCCACTTCTGTCCTCCTTGAGCATTGCACGACATGGGTGCACTTACCTATATGCAGGTATAACACTCATACACATAAAATTAAAAAAAAAAAATTAAACTAAAAAAAAATTTTTACTTATTCATTTATTGCAGTTTTGGAAATCAAATCAAGGGTCTTGGGAATGGCAAGTAAACACTAGACTCTGGGCTACATCCTCACTACCATAGTTTATAAAGGGAACAATGGTCCTTGATTTAGGAAGGAAAAAAGGGTCTAGGCACCACCTCATTTCTCCATCTGCAGTTGAAATAGACCTACAACTAAGGTACACTACAATAAGACACATACATGTATGCCTCATGGGTGATAACGATTGTGACTATTGGCCACCATGCCATCAATATTCCAGTAAAGCTAAATGTTGGGCTGTAAATGTAGTTCATTTGGTAGAGTGCTTGCCTACAGCATTCACAAAATCCTGGGTTCAATTCCCAGTACCACATAAACCAGGGGTTGGTGGTACATACTTGTAACTCCAGCTTATATGGCAGCGGCAAGAGGATCAGAAATTAAAAGTCATCTTTGAGCCAGGCATGGTAGCACATGCCTTTAATCCCAGCACTTGGGAGGCAGAGGCAGACGATCTCTGTGAGTTCAAGGCCAGCCTGGTTTACATAGTGAGTTCCAGGACAGCTGGGGCTACAGGGAGACCCTGTCTCAAAAAGACCAAAAAAAAAAAAAAAAAAAAAAAAGTTATCTTTGGCTAAATAGTAAGGTCCAGGTCAGCCTAGGCTTAAGCTACATGGGAACCATCACCACCAGCACTCCCACCCCTACAAAAAAAGAAAAGGCCAGCAAGATGGCTCAGTGGGTCAAAGTCGCACAAGCCTGAAAACCTGAGTTTGAGTCCCAGATCCCATGGTGCAAGGAGAGAACTGACTCCCACAAGTTGTCCTCTGACCTTCACAAGAATGCTGTGGCACAAGTAAGTCTGAACTCACACACATATCATACACAAACACAGTAATAATAAAAGAACTTAGAAAAAATATTATTTAAAAAAAAAAACCAGCTACTAGGCATGGTAACACATGCCCATCTCATCACTCGGAGAGGCAGAGGCCAATGGATCTCTGAGTTTGAGGCTAGCCTTATCTATATAGGAGTTTCAGGACAGCCAAGGCTACATAGTAAAACTCTGTCAAAAAGAAAAAAAGAATGGAAATTCAGGCCTGGGGAGATGGTTCAGTGGTTAAGAGTGCTTATTATTTTTGCAGAAGACTCAGGTTTAGTTCCCAGCACCCACATGGTAGCTCACAACCATCTGTAACTCCAATTCCAGGGGACCTGACTCCCTCTTCTGGCCTCTGTGGACACTGCATGCATGTGGTACACATGTAAACATGAAGGCAAAACATTCACACACATAAAATAAAAACAAAATAAATCTAATAACAAAAAAGAATGACAATTTCCACAAGAACTGAGAATGATAAGAAAAATAGAGTCTCTTTACATCATGGTTCCAGCTTTGCTCAAGGCCTGCCTAGGCTGTATAGCAAGAGTAGAGTCAGAGCCTTGGGGAATTTGACTGTTGATGGCTATTCTGAATTCCCAGAAGGGGTCATATGGGCCCCATAAGGTGGGGACAGCCCCTGTACTCACGTGGTATCATCCCAGCGCTGCAGACATTGGCTGTGGAAGCTATGGTTGCATAAGGTGGTGAGGATGCCATTTACAGACTCATCCATGCGCTCAAGACACACAGTACACTTGGGGAGCTCTGTCAGGTCCATTACAGGGAGGCTGGCACCCTAGAGGGAAACATCTCATGTTAAGCCTCACCTTTTATCCTCAACCATCTTTTTCTTGAGACAATAGATTTCCCGTTGCTTTTATTGTTTGTTTAATTTCTTGAGGTAGGGTCTCAACCTCAAAATCTTGACTAGGCTTACCTCAAACTCTCAGCAATCCTCCTAATTCAGCCTCCCAAAGGCTAGAATTACAGATGTCTGTTTTTTCTCTTTTTAATTCTTTTTATTCATTTGTTTTAGATACAGGGTATCATTAACTCACGCTAGCCTCAAATTTACTATGTAGCTGATAAACTTGAACTCCGGATCCATTTGCCGCCACCTTTTGAATACTGGGATTACAAGCCTACATTGCTGTGGCCAGCTCTTAGATCTAGTTTAAAATTTTTTATTATATTTTAATTTACTGATTGTGTATCTGTGTGCTTGGGTATGTGTGTCTGTCTTACTCTCTGCACTCATGTGAAGGTCAGAGGACGACTTTCAGGAGTCAGTTCTCTCCTTAACCAATGTGGGTTCTGGGGATTGAACTCAGGTTGTCAGGCTTGGCAGCAAGTGCCTTTCCCTGCTGAGCCATCTAGAGTCCCTTAGGTCTACTTTAAAATAAAAGAAATCTTAAAACACCCCAGAGCTAATTATAAAATGACCCACATAAGCAAATATTACAGAAAAGGTTCTGGGAGAACATGATCTACTGCAGACCAGAGCAAGTATAAACTGATAGAAAAGCAAAATTAAGAGTTGGGAAGGCGGGGGCCTGGTAAGATGGCTCAGTGGATAAGAGTTCCAGCTGGTCTTTCAGAGACCTGGGTTTGGTTCCCAGCAGCTAACAACTGGGGATCTGATGCTCTGACCTCCATGGGCACTACACAACATGGGGCACACTTACATGTAGGCAATACATTCATACACATAAAATTTTTTTTAATTAAAAAAAAAAAAAAAGAGTTGGGAAGCTGGGGCTGGAGAAAGCTCAGGGCTTAAGAGCACTGATTGTGAGCCAGGCATGGTGGTGCATGTTTTTGTTGTTGTTGTTTTGTTTTGTTTTTTGTCTTTTTGAGACAGGGTCTCCCTGTAGCCCCAGTTGTCCTGGAACTCACTGTGTAGACCACGCTGGCCTTGAACTCACAGAGATCCGCCTGCTTCTGCCCCCCCCCACCCCCAGCTGTGGTGGTGCATGTTTTTAATCTCAGCACTCAGGAGGCAGAGGCAGGCAGATCTCTAGGAAATTGAGACCAGCTTGGTCTACTCAGCAAGTTCCAGCTGGGGCTACAGGAAGACACTGTCTCAAGAAGAAAATAAAAAAAGGAATAAGAGTACCCATATAGTAGCTAACAACTGTCTATAGCTCCAGTTCCACGGGGTCTGTTGCCCTAATCTGGCCTCTGTGGGCACTGTATACAGGTAGGTAAAACACTAATACACATTTTTTTAAGAAAAGGAATTGGAAAGGAGTGTATAAAGAGTGTGTGTGTGTTGCATGCCTTTAATCCCTCCAAAGACTCAGGAGACAGAGGCAGATGGATCTCTGTGAGTTCAAGGGCAGTCTGGTCTACATACCAAGTTCCAGGCCACCCAGGGCTACAGTGAGTGAGACCCAATTCAAAAACAAAAATGAATTAGGAAGGGAAAAAGAACAAAAAGAAAAATAGTAAGTGAAAAAAATGAGGAATGGTATTCAGGGTTAATATTTTGAACAAACATTTTTTTTCAGCTCCAAATAATACTTCACTGATCTAGAATAGTTTCAACAGTGCAGAAATCTTGTTATCTATTTTTATTTTGGGGGACAGGTCTTGTTATACAGGCTAGGTTGGCCTTGAACTATTTTCCCTGCTTCCTGAGTGCTGGTACTACATGCATGTGCGCTAACCACTAAACTGTTTTCTACATTTTAAAAATGAGATAAAATTCTCCATTTTATTTAAGACAGGGCCTCACACTGTAGCAAAGGCTAGCCCTGAACTTGCTATGGAGCACAGGTCAGCTTTGAACTCAAGGTGCCCATCTTAGCCTCCTGAATGCTAAGTATTCCATTTTAAATTCAGTGGCTTTTAGTATATTCGTGTTTTCTGTCTCTATTCTCAATGTCTGGTTTGGTATACTCTGGACATTTCCACCAGTATCTTTCTTAAAAATATACAATGTTTTTATTAATTTTTTGAGGATTTCAAACAATGTGTTATAATTTCACCCCCACTTCCTCCCAACTTCATGTTCTTTTTTCCTAAGCTGCTCCACCAGTATCTAACATTCAATTTAATACCAATCTGCAACATTTCTAGTCAAATGTAAGGAGTCTTCACACTTACATCTTCAGATTTCAGCACTTCAGCCCTTTCCACATAGACCAGCTGGCAAACATCATCTTCAATTGAGTTGAACTGGCGGCCGTTACATGCCATGTAAAAACTGTCTGCGTCCGCCTGTGCACACCAAAGGAGAAAGGAAAAGATGAAGACAGCTCTATGGGAGGTGGACTAGTGCTCTCACCAGCTCTTACAATTTATAATTAGGAGACAAAGCAAGTGCTAGAAGTAACAAACCCTAGAGCTGGTGAGCCATAGCTCTCTGCAGCTCAGTATCCGCCATCTTCAGTGTCTCTGGCCTACTGAGAGGTTTGACCTGAACCAACAGAAGGCAAGGAAGTATAATCGACAGATGGCTATACAATTCTAACACTCAGGGTTAATATGTCTCTGGATAGTTCTTTTCCTCATCTACTCATCACTTTCAACGCAGGAAGAGAGAAAACACTTCTTAAAATCCTGGAACTAAATCATAAGTGATGAATATGAATTCTTTTTTTTTTTTTCACTGTTAAAAAATAAGGACCAAGCTGGGTGTGGTGGTGCATGCCTTTAATTCCAGCAAAGGCAGGTGGATCTCTGTGAGTTCAAGGCCAGCACAGTCTACATAGTGAGTTCCAGGACAGTTGGGGCTACAGGAAGACCCTGTCTCAAAAAGACAAATAAATAAATAAATAAATAAATAAATAAATAAATAAATAAATACCAGTATGGGATGAAAAACCAACTCTTCAGTAACCCAATGATAACAACATAGGATAGACAAGCATCCCACCAGGAATGTCCAACATCAAGAGCCAGAGCTCTCAGTACAGGTTAAGAGGTCCAGGACGAACAGCCTTTGAAATACTGAGTTGTGTTCCCTTAAGGAAGAAGTCAGAATGAATAAAGAGAAACAGCAAGGGCACATGTGCGGCTGGAGATGAGGACGCATCAACCTCTGCCCCTGGCTTAGCAGAAAGCAACAAGACAACTCCTGTTCAAGGCAAAAGGGAAGCTGAGACCTGGACTTCACACCACATGAACATTAGCCCAAATACAGGCAGCTGGGTGCTTCGGCCCTACGAATGCACACAAGCTTCTTGGGGACATAGGGGTAGATTCCATGAAAGAAACTACCACACTGTTGACATCTACCAAGACCTATCACTCAAAGCATCCTGTGCCCCTTCCCTCTTCAGGTTTTCTTTCTCACAGTCACTATAAGTTTCTTGAATAGTTTTTAATTCCACTCCAGTGATGTAATTCCATTGCAGATTTGATTATTTATGTTTTCTTCATATGAACAAATATGCTAATCTGCCAGAGAAGGATAACCAATTATGACTGTAGTTTTACAGAAGAGGAGGGGCTCCTGAGGAAAAACTATACTGGGTACAATACAATGCATTTTTTAAAAAATATTTTATTTATTATTTTTATTTTGTGTGTATGCGTGTATTGCCTGCATGTAGGTAAGTGCACCTGTGTCGTGCAATGCCTAAGGAAGACAGAAGAGGCTGTCGGATGCCCTGAAACTGGAGTTATATGAACGGTTGTTAGCTGCCATGTGGGTGCTGGGATTCAAACCTGGGTCTTCTGCAGGAACCAGTGTTCTTAACTGCTGAGCCATCTCTCCAGCCCCTGCATTTTTTTTTTTTTTTTTTGAGACAGGTCTCCCTATAGCCCCAGCTGACCTGGAACTCAATGTGTAGACCAGGCTGGCCTCAAATGCATAGAGATCCGCCTGCCTCTGCCTCCCAAGTGCTGGGATTAAAGGCTTGCAACACCATACGCAGCTGCAATACAATGCATTTTAACTTCAAATCTGTAAAGCTGGGTTTTGGATAACAGCTCTCTTTCACACTGAGCAGCTTCCCCATCCTTCCAGAGCAATGGCTTTTTCTGGAAACACTATTGGATATGGAAGTGGATCTCACAGATTGAGGCACTGGCTGGGCGGCAGACTCAGTTCAGCTTCTTCTACAGCACCACAAGGAGCTGGCCACAGGGCTGGAAAGGCAAACCTCTGTAGGTGCTCACCAAATGACCAGGCCTCTTCACAAAAGGGATAGGCATATGATTAAACCCAATCAACCTTGGAAACCTTACTCTTAAGAGAATTTAATTTAAATATATATATTTTTTTAATGTGCTTTTTGGGAGCTGGCAAGATGTCTCAGCAGGTTAAGTTGCTTGTAGCCAAGGCTGACAACCTGAATTTAATTCCTGGGGCACACAACGTAGAAGGATAGAACTGACTCCTGCAAGTTGTCCTCTGATTTCCACATGCACACCATGGCATGTGCACCCCCCCCCCATATACAAATAAATAAATGTAATTTAAAAAATTTAAAGAACTATTCAGGTCCTGGAGAGATGGCTCAGGATTAAGAGCACTTGTTACTCTTACAGATTACTGAGGTTCAGTTCCCAGCATCCAAATTGGGTGGCACACAACCATTTCTAACTGCAGTCCCATGGGATCTGATATCCTCTTCTGACCTCCATGGTATGACACTGATACTCAAGTGCATAAATCCACACAGACACACACACACAAACACACAAACTGTCTTGAGACAAGGTCTCACTATACAGTCCTGGCTGAACTAAAATTCATGATTAGGGAAACCCTGTATCAAAAAGCCAAAAATAAAATGTTTGCACTGGATAGAGCCAAAAATTTAAAGGGTAGGCATAGTGATACACACCTTTAATCCCAGCACTTGGCAGGGAGATCAGCCTGGTCTACATAGTGAGTTCCAGACCAGCCATCAGGCTACATAGTTAAGACCTCAAAACACAAAACAGCAACAAAACCCCCAAAATTTAAAGACACTCAACTTTTGTTTTTGTTAATGTTTTAGTTTTATTGTTCTATTCTGAGAGGAACCCAGAAAAAGGAAAATTCACTATGATTAGGGTACCTTCACTGCTATAGTGATCAACTGTAGGGCTGAGAACATACTCTCAAAGGATCAGACTCCTAGGTAATCCTAATTAAACGTGCAAGCGAAATGGATTCAACATACCACTAAGAGATCAACTGTCCTACCTAATCCTATTGTCACATCATGATGACTAACAGATTCCTTCCTCAAAGACCAAATTTCCTGAAGGTCACACTACAGGTTCATACGTCTTCACAAAACATCAAATGAAATCTAAGGCCAAGAGGGGCAAGTGAGATGATTTAGAGGGTGAAGGCACATGCTGCCAATGCTGAGGACCTGGGTTTGATTTCTAGAACCGACATGGTGGAGAGAACTGACACCCACTAACACACAAACACATAAGAATAAATAAATGTAAAATGTCAAGGACAACAAAAATTTAAGAAATTATGAAAGTTTCAGAAGGCCTATGAGTTTGTATTAAAAACTGGTGGGGCTGGAGAGATGGCTCAACAGTTAAGAGCACTAGCTGGGAGTGGCGGTGCATGCCTTTAATCCCAGCACTCAGGAAGCAGAGGCAGATCTCTGTGAGTTCCAGGCCAAATGGGGCTACAGGGAGACCGTGTGTCAAAAAGCAAAACAAAACAAAACAAGAACAAAAGAACCCCAAAACAGTTAAGAGCACTGGCTGCCCTTGCACAATACTCAGATTCAGTTCCCAGCATCCACATGGCAGCTAACTGTCTTTAACTCTAGCTCCAGGAATCTGATGCCCTCTTCTGCCCT